CCCCAAAAACGAATACCTGGTGTGTTAAAGTTGAATAGGAAGCTTCACAACACTCTGAATCTTGTTTTTGTTTTCTGCGTTTCTTCACTACGCAGCTATAGCATCAGCTGTGTAATTACTGTTCTGCCGCCTTGACATTGACATCAAACCTGAGTCATTCATTAATGTTTTAAAATTAAGAGTTTGCATCTATGCACGAAGAAGCTTGATATCTGACAAATAAAATCACTGGGTTCGGTGTCTTTCACTCTGGATGAATCTCGCTTTGAGCATTTTTTGAATACCGGCTATAAGAAGATCTATCTGTTAATCTATTTATCTATCTGTCCATCTGTCCGAGGTTATGGTGTATTTCATGAATAGCAATTTCTCCCCATTGTCGTTTTCAAACAAGGTCTAAATTTACCTTTGCTCAGAACACTGGACCAGCCCTCTGAAAGAGACACAATCCCCCTGGCCCTGTGGTATTGGAAAACAAGGTAGAGAGACAAACAGGTCCTTATGGGCTTTACCGGGCTTAAGACCTATCCGAATAATATCACTCCATCACAGGCAGGAGGGAGGGATTGAAAAAAGATCAGACAGAAATGAGAAGATGAGAAAGAGACGGAGCGATTGAGAGGATGAGTCAGGCTCAGACATAAAAACAGGTATAGAATGTGGCGCGAAGGGAGACGTGAGGAGAGACCGAGATCATTCAAATCTCTCCCAGTGTGTGTGTGTGTGTGTGTGCGTATATGCAAGCACACGGCGCGCCTCTGTTTCCCTGCGTATGTGACTAGACTGTCTGTTTTTATGTCTCCGTGTGTCATTGTGTGTCATTGTTTGTGTGAGTAGTTGTCTGTCAGTGCATCTGTGTGAACCTGAGCTCTGTGTGTGTGTGTGTGTCTGTGTGTGTGTGTGTGCGCGCAGATATGCACGTGCATGTACGCTCGGCGGTGAGGTGGGGATGGGGGGCAGCGAGCAGGGGAAGGAGAGACATGATATAAATAATAGCAGGGGGCTTTAATATGTATGAGGCATCCGGGCAGTGGTCCACAACATACTCTCAGCCCTCAGCCCTCACTGACTGATGGGAGAAGAGAGAAGGGAGGGAGGAGGAGGGCGGAGGGGGGAGGAGGGGGGAGCGGGGGCTGCATACTAACCATTCGCAGATCAATTCTCTCCTCCCTCAATCTACCATCCTTTCCTCCCTTCTCTTTACCCCATTTATCCCTTTTTTTCTCCCTCCTCTCCCCCTACTCTTTACTTCTCCATCCTTTCCAGCGTCTCCTCCCTACGATTCTTCATCTTCTCCACCTTTTGTTTCTCCATCCATCCTTCGTCTTCCCCCCCACTCCCTCATCCACTATGTCCCAGGTTCATCCCCCTGTGCTTCTGGCCCGGAGATCCGACGAGAGGAAAAAAAAAAAAAAAAAAGATACCTGCAGGCGCCAGGGGAGTGGGCGGCGGGCTGTGCCCTTGGTCAAGGTGCCTGACCTGGGCTAAGCCGGCTAAGCAACCCCACTGTCAGGGGAGCGGCCCAGGGTGTAAGCCGGGGCAGAGGGGTCAGACGGGGGGGGACAGGAGATGCAGGGCAGGGGCGGTCCACAGGGGCGACATGCCCTCTAAAACAAACCACCAGTTATACTTTCTCACTCAGAACATCGTTTGTTTGTCTGTCCTTCCCTTCTCCCCTGTGTCCGCCTCCACTCGCCAACAAAGTATATCCAAGTGTTTTTGTCCTCTCTCTCCCTCCCACCTCTCCTTTCTCTCTTTTTGTATGTTTTTCATCGCATGTGTCCATAAACACACCAGATACTCCCTCTCATATATTCCCTAACTCACTCTATCTGCCCTTTCTGACTGTCTCTTTCTGATCATAAACCCGCTCTGTCCCCGCCCGCTCTCTCATATTTTCGGGGAAAGGTAAACGTAGCGTTGTATGTTCAAGGTTTTGAACGTAATCTTCGATCATAAATAATTTCATTAGAATGCTGATGGCTTAGGCCATGTTTGAGTAGATGTGATGGGTTAGGCCATCTGCTCAGCTGATAAGAACAGCTCTGTTTTATTAGCATCTCCACCAAAGCCTCGGCTGTCTTGTTTACCTAGGCAATCCCAAGGCGAATTTCATTCCTACTGCACATTTAAACTCTATTTACACACTCAGACTCTCTCTCTCCTCTTTACCACTGTCTCTCGTTCTCTCCCTCTATTCCTCTGCTTTATTTTCTTCTTCTCTTGTAATTGTCTGTCTGGTTCTCTCTGTATCTCCCTTTTTGTTCTGTCTTCTTGCTGCCACCGCTCTTACTGTTGTCTGGTTGGCGTTTAGCTCTTTTGCCCTTACATGTTTAATCTGTATCAGAGCGAGTGGGAACAAAAGCATTTGTATAAGAATTCTTGCAAAGGGAAGACTCAAAAAAACTCCACTTTTCCTCATCTTACATGCAAATACACAATGAAGCCCCCATCTCAAGTTAGTTTAAAGGTCTTTCCCCCAAAACCTGTTGTATCTAATCCAATATATGCCTGATCGTGTGAACATTAAAAGAAAGATTGGTCACTGTAATAATTTCTCTTCTCCGTACTTGCAATGACGAGATCGTAGCTGTTGAGTTAATGCCTTTACTGATGCACACTTCCCTCAGGGTATACGAAGCTACGGGGATAACACATGGAGACTTCAGAAACTCTTACCAGTTTGTGCATTATTCTACAAGTTTCCTATTTAATACCCCATAAAATCTAACTTTTGTTGAAGTCCATCTTGCTGTAGTGACGTATGAATGAGACATTACTGTTGGTTGTGGTTACAGGTGCAAGAAAGCACACGTCTGAGCAAAGAGGTCAAAGGTTAAACTTTGGCTTGAAACTTTCAGTCAAAGAGATCTCTGACTTCCAGCATCACTCTTCTTCAACAAAGTTGAAGAAGACTTTTAGTAACTCATAATTTCTGCTTTGCATCTTAGTCAATTAAAGAATGTTAAAACTCTGACAGCATGTAGCCGTGCTGGCAGCAGTGTCCTGTCCAGACCACACACATCAGAAAGACATGACCTGCATGATACAATGCATGTTTCAATGGTACCAATAATTACTGAAGGCAACAATGACAAAAATCTATGCTGTAGGTATTGATGGTAGGACTCCCTTCTCATCCAATTTGTGTTGTGTAAAACCCACTGTCTATAGTCTATGCAAATAGTGTTCAGCTAAAAAAAAGAGGATTTAGTAGTCAAAAACCACATAGCATCTGTGTCCTGTCCTCTAAACAAAACTAGCTACAGCTATCAACATATACTATACAGCCATTTCCTACTAAATTGCTTTAAATTTGGTTGAAAATGAGGTTGTGGATTTTGCCCCCCATTCCTCACACTGTGTAAAGAGGGGTTGCTTCATTGCCAGAACTGACAAATAAATAACAGTAACTTTTTAATGTACCTATGACATGCGAGTACAGTTTGAAGATAGAGTATTGTACTAAGAAGAAAAGCATCATCCAAACATACCCTTTAATGTTGCCAATGATAGTTCTCAATCACGGCAAACTCACGCATTAAAACACCTCTCATTTACTTCTGTTATTGTTGCTCCAACTTCTCACTTTTCTCTCTCTCTCATGCTGTACCCATTCTTCTTACTTTAAAACATCCCTCTCTTATCACACCTCTCCTCCTTTCCTCCCCCTCTCTTTCTCTCTCTGGCTGTCTCTATCTATCTTCCCATCCCCCTTGGTGTTTTTCCCCCTCCCTACAATCAATGTGGCTTTTAAGATGCCTATCGATTTGTTCCCCTAGACAGGCCCAGCGCGCTGGGGCGACACTTTGATTGCTGGGCCAGTAATTACTGTTATTATTTATGCATCTGGGCAAAATGGCAGGACTTAACATTCACAGTACAAGAGGCCACAGGCAATCAACAGAGGTGAGCACCTGGAGAGGGAGAGAGGGCGGGCGAGCGAGGGATAGAGGGAGAGAGCAGCATTGGCCCTGTGAGAGTTGCACTCCAGAGATGAGCGCGAAGAGTGCAGTCAAAGATATTCACACTCACACACACACAAAACACACGTACACACACTCCTGGGAGGGGATATGAAAGCATAAGCAGAAGACAGGCACATGTGTGCAAATGCACTTGTATACAAAGGATTATTCCAGTGTGTGTGTGTGTGTGTGTGTGTGTGTGAAAGAATGAAAGCTGAGTTGAGGTCGTCTTACCTGTGAGAGTCCCAGGTAGATAGAAACTGTCTCTGAGATGTAGAGGAAGCGTCCCTCCTGACTGACCACAAACACAAAGCCATCTAGAGACTGTGCGCACGCAAGCACGCACCCGCCGACACACAACACAGACATAAAGGCAAACAGAAACAAGACAGACAAATTAGAGCAATTAGTGTGTGTCGAACAAATTACAATGAACTGGAGAACAAACAACCCGTCACCCCTCGGCCTCTTCTCTTAATTCACAAGTGCACTCACACATACACACAAACACACACACACATGCATAAATACGAGCAGACATGAAACGGCTCCCCATACACACAGCAGCTGTGAGCAAGACCTGCATTACCAAGAAACCCACAGAGAGCGACGCACACAGACAGACATGCACACACCCACAAACACAAACAAGTACACATAAACAAATTGAGCAAAGAGACACGAGAAACGGAGCTTATAGACCAGGGCTGTTTCAATCAACTCAATAAACTCAGAGTCAAAGCTTTCGTCCTGGATCTTGCCGCCACACACATAAACACACGGATAGAACCGGAGTCATTACAGCCTGCAGTGATTCTAATGAGAAGTGAAAGGTATACAGCCAGCCCATTAGGGGGGGGACTGCTTCAGAGAATAATATTAATCGTCATAACAAGCATCCAGAAGTGAGCCGACGCAGCCTCAGCCTCATACACATGCACACGGACCAGGGCCACTTTTCTCTAGAAAAATGATTGCTATTTTGGCGGCCCGGTGCTTAGAGTGGCAGCGGTAATTTATGCAACTGACACATCCAGTATGCAAATGTGTGGCCGGGGTGTGGGGCGTCGTGTGTCGCGGTGAGGAGAGACCAGCCGCCTGAATGTCGGAGAACTAAAGTGCAATTATCAGGCTATTACGGCGGGAGGACGGCTGGGAGGGAAGAATCATACAGTTTTTCTGGAGCGTTAATTTGATTTCTATCAGCGCCATTCCCTAAGCCTCCCTTCCTCTTTAAAAAAGGAGAGCAGACATATGTAATGCTTCTTTGTTTTACCACAACCTTCTCACTTATACATTCTCAACGTCTATTCTCTTTTTTTTCTCTCCGCCCTATCTTTCTCTCTCACCACCTGTTCCCACTCGGACCTGTTTCCTGTCTTCTAACTATCTGTCGTCCCTCCTGGTCTAAAGTACAGTCTGCAGTGTTACCTTCTTTGCTCTTCTTCTGTCTTTACATTCTGCATTTCGTCACCCCTGCAGCCCTCATGCCCCGAAAACCCCTCAGGCTCCATTCATCTGTCAGTGCAAAAGGGAGGCTTTTTTTTTTTTTTTTGGTAGCCAACAAAATCGTCCAAACATCTGAGCTTTATGAGATGTGTGTGTGTGTGCGCGTGTGCATCTGTGTGTGTGAGAGAGAGTTTGCCTGGAAATATACGTCGAGGGAGGAGGACTTGAGCCAGTGCAAACTGCGATGCTACAGCACATTTATGAGACAGAATGTGCTTGTTAACATAAACATTGTAGCATGAAATCCATATATGCATTTTAAACTTGTTAACTCGAAACTTTTCATTTCAACGGAGGGATTAGGCATTCATCGGAAAAAAATGTAGCACTTCCTTAAGCTAGATAAACCTTTTAGAAACGCAGTGACAATCTCAGTTGGAAAGCAGATGCATCATGTAAACACATGGTTTCACCGCAATCATTACAGGAAGGTGTGTGTGTGTGTGTGTTGAGGCTGTTACCTGCAGGAGGTGCGCCCCTAAGTGCTGCTCAAACATGTCAGTGGCCAGAGAATGAGTTGATCGTCTAACTGTAGAGAGAAAAGAGACAAACACACATCAGATACTGTCTGACATCAATGAGACCTGTTGATATTGTGACAGTTAAACAGAATTTTTATGTTTTATCATCAGTACATAAAAGGATGACTGAATAAAACTGAAGCAACATTTTTAATTTTATTATACACACCTTGGTTATGCCGCCTGTGGTATGTTGAAATATTTTCTATGGAGAAAACTAATAATGCAGGCAAACGTTCGTGATCGGAATTTGACGGCAATGATCAATTGCTGCTGTTATAAAGAGACCGTTTCAAAATTCTTGCTCAATTTTTGCGTTTTTCTGTCATTCTAAGCACAGATTTTTATTGAGGCAACCGTATTCCTTAGAGTTAAATAAAAAAAACAAAATCTCAAAATCTGAGGGAATCATTTTGCCTTAGGGGTTTGAGGCGTGGCCCCGTTTGAGTCCAGCTGTAGACCTCAGTTGCATGATGTTCCCACTCTCGCTCTGCTCTGATCGCCTCTCATCGCTCTACAGTCAGCTCACTAATAAAAACGTGGAAAAAAAGGCCACAAGACATACTTGAAATATTAGGAAAAAAAGTTTGATTTGTATGTTTACAATGGCAACGCGTGTATGAACAATTAAAATATACAGAAGTGAATCCAAGTACAGAGGTGTTGACACACTGGTGACCTTGCCCTGCCCTGTCTTTAGGTTTTAATATGATAATTGGGCCACTTTTGAGTTATTTCTGAGGAAAATTAATATAACATGTGAGACGTTGTGCTCTAGGCAAAGTAAGGTCATCCCGCTTTTTTCTGTGCCCAGCCCGTGTTCTGCATCAATATCATCGTGAGCGCCGGAAAGCTAAACCAGCGGTTCTCAAACTGTGGACCTTGGAATTAGTGTTATTTATACGATTTAAAAAGCTAACTAATAATAATCAGACCAAATCTGCCATCTGTTGCTGACAACAAATTCTGTCCACAGCCAAATGACAACTACTTTCACTCGAGCAACTTAGAATAAAACATGTTTTCTTTGCTAATCAGCTGCCTGTTGCCGTATTTTCTTAGTTAGTTAAATGATTAGAGAGGTCACATTCTATATGTAGTTATGGGGAAGCATTGTTAAGCACAATTATGTCATTGTCAGCAAATATCCTGCTGTGAGACTGTGACACAGACAGACAAACAGACTTTTACGAACATAATTAATCAACTATATCATAATATTATGTTATTTTTGAGGGCTTTAATGTACAATTGGAATGACAGATGAACAGACATTGTTACTACTATTCTTACTTTTATAAAAGAAAAAGAAAAGATCCAGGGTTATTCATAAAACACTCAGGGCCACAGCCTCAGACACCCAGACCTAATGAGACTACCGATGAAGCAACTCAAAAGAGGTAAAGAAATTCCAAGAAACATCTGAACTCCTTTCTAATACCAGGAAAGCGATATTGATAAACTTGGCAGTTATTCCACTTTCGGGAAGGTTATTAAAGCTCAGACATATAAGAAATCACCCAAAGTGATCAGCAAATAGTGTGGTTTTGTAATAATGTTGCATCTGTGTGACGTCTGTAGATCTGCAGCGAAATGAAAAATGAAACTTGAACCAATTACGTCTGATAAAAGAAGAATCGACTGTGTTTTTAAAAAAAAGAGAAAAAAAAAAAAACTGCGCATAAGGAGGGGCGATATGTGACGCACGCCGCTCAATCTCCACGCCAGACACGCAAACAAACAAACCCGCACACACACACACATAGTGTCTGCATCACCACTCTTAATGCATCCCAAACACAAGCTATCAGAGCTGCTTCAGTGCCAAAGTGGTGCTGTTTACCAAGGCAATTACAATACAAATAGAGTTGGAGGTGGTTAGGTGGAGGGAGGGAGGAGGGTGAAGATAGGTACGAGAGGAGCAGAGAGGGTAGAGGGAAAATGAGAAAACACTAAGGAAGGCGAGGGTGATCACTTTCTCCAAAGCAAACACGGGTGGGTGAGGGGGGGCCGCAGTGACGTGGAAGATTAATTTAGCAATCAGGCGTATTTACTGTTTTATGTCAGAAAGAGTCGGTGACGGTGTGTGTGTGTGTGTGCGCACCTGCGAGCGCGTGATTGCAAAAGTGGAGACCATATGTGAGAACTAATCTCACTCCAACAGGGCCGCTTTTTTTTTTTTTTTGAACACAATGTTCCCTATCCGGCAGAGACAAACTATGTGTGCGCAAAAATGTGTGTGTACAAGAGTATATGAATGTGTGCATGTGTGTGAGTCTGTGACTTTAGGGATCATCGGATATCTGTGTGTGTGTGTGTGTGTGTGTGTGTGTGTGTGTGTGTGTGTGTCGCTGCAAGGCTGAGGGAAATCAATACACGTTATGACAGGAAAATGAAAGCGCTGCTCTGGGTTACAACTGAACACAGAGGGAGGGTCGGAACACACACACACAGTCACACACATATATACAATCACACACACACACACACACACACACATATATATATATTGCCCAGCTGCCTGCTTGTGATGTGGCTTTGGTGAATAGAAGAGGGAGGCATTCCATTAGAGCTATAGACACACACACACACACACACTTCAGGAATACACACAGCGATGAATTCTCATGCACACAGCAGCAACATGCCCTCCGATTAAACAACACAAATACCCACGCACACACACACACACACACACACACACATACACACAAACTCTCCCACACACACATAAATACAGAGTTGCCGGACAAAGCCACAGTGGCATTGTGAGATTGGGGTCCCCCTGTGTGACAGAGTGTGAATATAAATAAGGCAAGTCCATTCAGGGCTATGAAAGGGGGTCTGGTGCTGGGACCCTTCAGCCTAGTCAGTCGCTGCCTGGAGGGGGGATGGGGAGCCCGTCTTGCTCTCTGCCTGCCTGTCAGACTCCCTTGTGGGGCAGGCGATGGAGCTGCAGCGCTGGGGAGCCTGGATGAACCAACCCCCATCATAAGAATGAATCAAAAAAAAAAAAAAAAGGACACAAACACACCTTGATGCGAGTTTGTGTGGCACAAAAGAAAAATGAATAAAAATGCATGGATTGCTTGTGTGTGTGTGTTTGTGTGTGTGTGTCCAGAGTTTCGTGGCTAAGATCCCCGGAGAAGTGAAGGTGGTGGTGATGGTGGGTGATCAGTTGTGCTGAGTAGTGTCAGCGGGGCGAAGGAAACGCTGGATGTGACATGAGGCCGGCGGGGCTGACGGATGAGTCACACCCATGAACACACACACACACACACACACACACTCAGACACAAATACACAGAGGACCATTTATTAAAGACTGCCATGGTACAATAGGGCGGCCAGGAAACCAAAACACTGGACCTGGTGTGTGTGTGTGTGTGTGTGCGTGTTTGTGAGAGTGTGTGTTCTTGCACACATGTGAAGGGAGAGAGAGTCTCACAGCGGTGTTGGTATCTCACCCCGAGAACAAAGATCCTTCTGTAGTGCTGCTGTGAACCCCGACTTCTATATATATGTGTGTGTGTGTGTGTGTGTGAGTGTGGGCTTTGCATTATTCTGTGCGTTTCCCTAAATATTATCGCTTTTGTAATCTTGTCTAATTACAAATCATTCGTTATTCAAAACAATTTAAACAATCATTTAGGTCATTTAGTAGTTTTGGCCTCTTTTTTCCATCAGATATAATAACATTGTCCTGTAAACACCTGGGGATGCAACAACATCGATACAAATATGTCAGACGGGACAAGAAACACAAGCAGCCACATCATCCGACATCTGTTAACAGACCTACAGTGTAGCCAGACTGTCTAAACAATGTCTTCAGGGGTCAAAACTGCAAATGAGTGCACTCAGAATGTTAGTAATGAGCCCTCATTTGACAAAAACTGTGCATACTTCATTATATATATATAGATGTCATTGCACACTCTACTTGTAATCAGACAAGGTGATGGTCAAAGAGGATTTTGAAGGAATTAGTGTAAATCTAAACTCATTCGTAGACTTACAAATGTATCTCACAGAGGCTTATTTTTCCCTTTTGTAGCTTCTTTAACCCTCTGAACATCCAGCATTTTCTGGGCATTTCTTTTTTTTTTTGCTCCTGTCACATTTTTCACTGCAGTATAAAGTCCTGCACCTCTATGAAAAAAAAAAACAGCACAACTATGGCTAGAAGTAGAAAGAACTCTTCTGTGCAGCATGGCACAGTTATATAAATAAATCAAAAGAAAGAACAAAAGCTGAATACATTTGATTATATATTTCTAGTGGTGGCTCTGCATAGTGTAGATATTTAACTTCTTAAATGTCTAATTTGTTTCTATACATGTCTTCTATCTGCTCTGAGTAAACACAGCCTGCAGTTCAGCTGAAAAGTCCGCGATTTTTTTGATATGACTGTTGGTTGCAGCTGAGTCACTCATGGCTTCACAGTTGTACTTAATTTTTTTTACAGAATCTGGTTCGAGCAAACTATTTTTTGTTGGCAAACTATTATAATGAGACATGCAGATTTGGGTATTTTTCCCAAAGAAACAGCACGGCGCATTTATGTAGTCGAAGGACTATCAGTAGCTTGAAAATTCAATGATTTTTTTGCTTTATTTGGCTCTGGTAATTGGTCTATTTTTGGTGATTTTTGATATGGTTTAGGGTTCAGAAAGCGAAGCATAAATCTGACCTGACCAAGAACTGAGTACTTCCATTTAATAGAAAGTGAGAAGCATACAATGATGTTTGAAATAGAAAGTTGGGAGCTACCAGTCAGAAATTTTAACTGATGTCGCTGGTTGTCTGACTCAGAAAGTCAGAGAAACTTCATCAACTCTACATCAAAATCCAAAATCAACACTCAGAACATCAACGGTAGTGATGAACTGCTCATTAGCACATCTGTCATGTTTGTGTCTCATTAAATCACACAGAATTGTCCAACTTCTATCTGTGGAAACATAGCAACAGTGTTCGTATGCGAGAAACACACCTCACTGTGTTG